ATTAAAATTAGTCATAAATTTAAAAGTTGCGATAACTTTTTTTTTGGTCCAATACTTTTGACCGGGGAGTATACATAAAGAAAGAACTGAATACAACAATAGTTACGATAATAATCCAATTTATTCACCACTACTATCCATCTTGGATTATATGGTATCTCATCTTAACCTTTTAATTTCATAATATTTACATAATCCAGTTCCAGTTTATTAGGCAAACTTTCGTCCGATCATGTTTCCACAATTTTTCGCATGTTTGTTTATAATTTGCTTACCCACGGTCTAAATAGTTTAGCTTAACATACTTATCCAGACCATAAACTTTTTATATATCGATTTGACCTCAAATTTGGATTTTAAAAAGTTAAGATAATGCTGAATGGTGAAAATGAACGATTTGAAATGATTATATTTTCATATTGGATGTATCAATCCTAATACAGATTTTATTGTATAAAGGTACTTATTTATTAGCAGTAGGGATGTTAAGTAGTTTATTCCAAACTGGTTTAAAACTCAAACTACTATGCTTAGTTTCAAACTAGCTAGTTCCTGGTTTTTACGGGTCTGGTGCATTTAACCGACACTCGTTTACTGACAGTCATCTTACCGACAAACACCTTACCGACATGATCATTTTATCGACAAACACTTTACTGACAATCATTTGACCGACATATTTGTTTGACCGACACATTCATTTGATCAGCACATTCATTTGACCGATTCTGACAATTATTTTATCATTACCATTAACCTTTATAAACTTTATAAAGCATATAAATTGATATTTTTTATTTATATTGAATAGATGTACTACATAAAAGAAAAAAAATATAGTTTAATAAACTATTTAAAATGAAATATTATGTGCAATTCCTCTAAGAAAATCCATAAGTGATCTATTATCACGGTCATTATACACTGTTTGAATTCGAGTTTCACGATTATGATCCTGCCTTTTTTGTAAAGGTCGTACTACTCCTCGCAAAATTAATTCTGTATCGAGTTGAACTTGTTTTTGTTCATTTTGCATTTCTTTCATCATTTTAAATACATTTATATGTGCACCTCCAACTAATGTTTCCCATCTTCGATGCCAAGCTTCTACAGAATTTTGAGTTCGAGGAAAGGCATATTCAACATTATCAGTAGGCTATCCTTAAATAATTAATATTTGGTTGTCGGTAAAATGATCATATTAGTAAAATAATTATGTCGGTAAATTGATCATGTCGGTAAAATGATCGTCGGCAAAATGTTTGTCGATTAAATTAACGGGTCCCAATTGAAACGGTTTTATATACCTTTCATTATCATATATTATTCACTGTCCGAGTACTTTCTTTCATAATGGTAAATTTCTTGCAAGTAAAGTTTCTCGGGAAATTTTCTCTTCGTATTTATTTATTTATTTATTTATTTTTTTGTCAAGTATTTGTCGAGTTGACGTTAAACAAAAAAATGTGTATTACATTTAAACTAATTACTTTGAGAAATAACAAATTAAAACACTTAAATCCTTTGCTAGCTAAGTTCCTTGCCATTTTTTAAATCTCTAACGCAAAGTATTTTACATGAGAATTTTTTAGATAAACAAGGTCTTTGTACCTAAGCTATAAAATATTTAATATGAAGTTATTATATGACGAATTAAGCATTGTACTACTAACCCTTACTATAATATTCTAGAATTTTAATTGGAATACAATTCAGAAATTCTTGTTTAAATAAATATAAAATGTCGTGAAATATTCAAATTCAAATTTCAAAGTTAAGCTCATAATATGGAACTTACGATTTCAAATAATAAAGATTCTTTTGATCCAACTCCAAATTAAAATCTAGTCCTATACCAAATACGATTATTCCTTTTAAATACCAGTTTGGTGAATGTAATTGTGAAAATAAATTTTCGAAACCACATTTATTTGAACAAACATATTGTAAAAATTGTATATTCAAAAATATATTCTTTATTATAAGAATTAGAATTCAAAATTTTCAAATGTTATGTATTTAAGCGCGTTTTTGATTTTGTCAAAACTCAAGAGAGAGAAAATAAATAAACCAGAATTGTTTATACTACATTTTATTCAGAAAATCACGTTCATGTAAGGACCAGAAATGACATCATTTTAATTTTTGAAATTTTGGCCCTTGTCATTAATTCCATTTAGGGAAATCAAAATTATGTAATAATTTCAAATGTACCTACTAACCTAGGAATCCTTCTGTATATTATCTCACCGTGTGTCAAGAAGTACTTTCAGTTTTCATGTTTTTCATAATCTTGACGGACATATCAACTTATCATAACTTCAATTTTCTTGCAGGAGTGATATCTGGAATTTTTTCCCAAATAACATCCTTAAGTTTCGAGATACTGTCGAATTTATTATCCTCGACTTCGAATGCCTCTTCAGGATGTTTACTTAGAACTAGACAATTAGACAATATAACATGATGTCGCGATAACTTTAAATGAAGATTAAAACATTTAGAGAGAAAGCGATAAAGAAGTAAGAAAAACATTCTAGAATGCAGATGCGTTATATATATAAAAATGATGTTTATAACTTTTGAATAATACGGTCAAACAATATATCATGCATTATTACATCAATCTAGTACCTTTTATTAGACAGTTTCTTATGTATTAGTTATGACAAACCGTAATATAAATAGATAAATCTATTATAAAATACTTCAAGTTCCGACACAGAAAAATTAACAGATATTGAACGTTTTGAATTTGTTGAAAAAAAAGGTTAAATAAAAAATATTTTAGGCACTCTTGGCATTTCACTTAAACATCCGGTCAGCAGGTGCAAAAAAAATCTTTGATGTAGGAAACTATTAAGAAATTAAATGTGCTTACGCTGAAGGTCTTGATAAGTAATAGTTATTCGGTATGAAGTGCCGAATAACTATTATATTGGGAAAATCAAATTTGATTGGTTGATTCGGGGCTCTGCAGGAATCCCGAATCACAAATCAAATTTGATACCCAATATTATTAGCTACCTTATAGGTAGCGGTAGTTATTCGGCTTGAAGTGTTGGATAAGTGATTTATCCGGTATCCCGTGATTTCATGATAAACTTTTACATTTATAAACTTTTTTTTTTTACACATTTTAATTTTTTTTTTTTAAAAAAATTTATTTCTTTAAACATTTCTTCGTACTCAAATAATGGAAAATAGAAATTTTAACAATGTAAGAATATTAATATTTAAACTTTAAATTTTTCAATCTACTACAAGATTAATAACTAAAAAATTCATTAGTCTTTTAAACCAACGGCTGAAGAGCGTATTCGAGTGCAACAAAGTCATGTTACAATCAAATGTACAGAACAGAAAAATGGGTTAATATTAAGAACTCTTGGTGGAGCCTTGAAAATGTTGGTTATAATTATGCATTAGAATCTCTTTCTTCTAAAGAACAAATTGAGAAAGAGATGTGTGAATTTGTATATGAAGAACAAAAATTAGTGAATGATATTCAAGAGCTTCACTTAAAAATGCAGTTGCTTTAATAAGTTGCCATCTTAAAGATCTATTTCACAATGGAATTATAATTTGTTAGACAAAAATAATTTTCCAAAGTTACATGCTACACTTGATGGCATAATAAAAGAAATGAAAAAAATAGGAATAGGTGAAGCAAAACTACATGAAGGCCTAACTAATAATGAACTAAACTTATTTTAAATCATGATGCAGTGATCTCCTAATGAACCTGAAGGATTACTTAGAAGAGTTTTCTTATGGATTTGTCTATTAGGATGTCTGCGAGGTGGTAAACATTATAATTTACTAATTAGTCAATTTGAAGATACAGAAGACGGATTTATTTTTAGAAAATTTCATCAAAAAAATGATCAAAGAGGATTAGAAGGAAACCAAAATACCTTTGAAATACCATTTCCATCAGATATTAAAAGCAAGGCTAAACCTAATACTGATATTCGTAAATATATTTCATAAGACTTTTGAATTGTGAAACTAAAAAATTTTTTTTAGGAATTTTAACAAATGCAACAGATAAATTAAAATTATTTAATTATTTTATATTAAATTAATAAATTTTAATACTTTTTTTATTAGCAGTTTCTAAAGGAAATGGTATCATGATTAGGCACTAGGTGAAAAATAGGTTAGGAGAATATTTCATGAAATCTGCATTGCATGTAGTATTTACATATCTGAAAGAAATATTTCTAATCATTTAGGAAAAGATATAGCAATTCAATCAATATTTGATGCTGAAAATGAAGAAGTCAAAGCAATAGGCAATTTTTGGTCATAATTCATTAGCTAGATTACATAATTATCTCAAAGTGATGAAAGAAAAAAAGAAAAAAATTCTTAATTCAGTTATGTAATAAATAATTGAAGAAATACTCAGTTCTAACTTAAAACTGATGAAATAAAAGATGATATAATGCATAATGATGAAATTATAACATCTGATTTAGCAAAGCTTTAGAATTATTAAAAAATAAGAAAAATAAGTGGCTATTATAAGAATTTTCTAATGACAATTTAAATATTAATCATAAAAAGAAAAAAAAAAACTATAATTATAAATAAACATTATTATAGTAATTTCTCAATTTATAACAATTTATTTTAATATTATATTGTAATATATAAATAATGCTTATATAATATAAGAAATTTATTACCTAATACATTAATTATTATAATGATCATTAATTATAAAAAAACTGAAAAAAATCACAGAATACCAGATAAAGATAAGTTATTATCAAAAAAAAGTAAAAACTTAGGCATAGTATTTTATTTGTTTTTCAAGAATTTTTCAAACTATACTAAACGCCAGTCAAAATTTAACATGTTATATTATTCTCAAGTTAAAGAATTATGAAACAAATTGAATGATACTACCCAAAATGCTTGAGAACATGATTTTTTAATTATTTTAATATTTTTACATTTTAATTAATATATGGCTATTTTAAAGACTATGCTTCCTTTTTTTCTTCTTTTATTTTAATAATCTAATTTGTTGTATGAGTTTGCTAGGAACATATTTCATGACTGATATATAAATAAAATAATTAAATTTAAAATTATTTATAAAATACCTAACTTACCTTATATTATTTAATAATTATAAGTTAAAATTTATTTAATTATAATTTTAAAAATATATATTCTAAAATGATTGCAAAATTTGTATTTAATAATTCTTTAATTATATAAATTAGCTGATAATACTTTTAATATAATAAATATGAATTTTAATTCTGATAAAAAATTACAAACTTAAAAGGATGAAAATAATTTTAATAAATATAATTTATAAAAATTAGAATTAAAAGAATTTTATAATAATAAAAAAATTCATTAAAAAATCTAATATATTATATATATTATATTTTAGCTATTCAAAAGGATTTTCTTAATTAAAAATTATTTTTACAAAAAATTATGAAAATAAAATAATATTTTATCCAAAATTTTATTACAAATTTAATTATAGTCAAACCTTTATACAGTCACACCCTATACAGTCACATCTCTTTATAAGCACCTAATTTTGTAAAAGAATTTTAATATTATTTAATTGCCTCTCTATAATCACAACTCAGATATAGTCACTATCACCTTATGACCTATAATATACATATCATTTTTATTAGTAGTTAGATTTCTTTATAATCATGAATTTCTAATTAGCTTATCAGATAAATTATTAAAGTCCACAAGTCTACAAAAGATATAATGATAAAATAGTTTAAAAATGTAAGAACTTAAAATGTAATACTTAAAATGTAATACTTAAATGTAATATGATAAAAAAGAATACAATTATAAAATATAATGCTTGAAAATTATTATATTTCAGTATTTTCTTATAATAATTTTTATTACATTTTTTCGTATTCATTCAGAAAATTTTATATGGTTAGTTTTCTCACATTAAGTATTAGTTATGATGTTACAAATCCTAAAATATTATTATAGCTTTATAAAAAGCTTCTTTAAAAAATCTTTTCAAAAAAACTTTTTTGTTTGACTAGTTTTTTATAATGTCCAAATAACACCGTTTAGCTATAAGTGCTAATCTCAAACACCAAATTTGTGAATGGACAAAAAATAACAATTATAAAAAACATTCTGAAATTGCAGCCTATTTTAATGAAAAAACTTTACTTTAAATATTGATTGTAGCACTATATCAAAAATATTAGCACAAAGTAAAAAATGGAATTTTGTATAAGAACCTTTAGGTTCTAAAGAAATTTTCGAGTCAAATTTCTAACACTTGATTATGCTATAAATTTATAGGTAGAAAATGTAATAGTAAGTGATGTTATCTTAACAGATTTATTAATAAAAGAAAAGGCAAAGTTTTTTGCTAATGCATTTAATATATAAGAAAATAAGTTG